CGGTTATTGAAATCAGAGAGTGTTATTCCAATAAACGATAGTTCTCTGTCGGATTCAGCAGTCTAAATCCTCGTTACTAACCTAAACCTATTACAATCTTGCTTCGACCGAATTCTGTTCCAACAGATACTATGCTAATCTTGTCCGGATATAAGGTATCGATCTAAACTTTGGCTACGAGCATAGTAACGCTCGCCAAAATAAGTGAACGTTACATGGGTCTCAAAAATCAACAGCCTCCAAGTTGTAAAAGAGAATTAAAACATCTAAAATGAACCATTTTATTCTTTTATTTTTACTAACCGGCTTAGCACACCTTGCAATTACTCTATTTATCCACTTCTATTGTACATTTTAATTTTACGCTTTATACCAATAGTGAACAAATAAACAAACAATTTCGGAACCCATTAAAGTTTTGATCGATCTAGTAACGTAGCAATTACCAAACTGCCAGCTTATCAACCCATCTAACGGACTCCATCTACCCGTTACTTGAACTCCGGGAGTCTGCTTTGGACACTTACACGGTGCATCAACCTAACCGTAGCGCTCTAAGTGACCGTAGTATCGCGAACAGGCGTGACAACCCACATAGTTCACCGAATCTAATATTCGTAAATGGCTGGCCTCCTGCAACCGTGGTGTGTTTGGAGCGAAATTTCACCATCCGACTAGCCGCGTAAAGTTCGATTTCATCTCCCCTCCCCTCCCCACCCCGGAAACCGCATTGTTCGCGAAATTCCAATGTTCCTGGCGAATTTTTTCCTCGCGTGCCGAGCGTTCAACGTCCCATAACTTCATTATGCGTTCAACGGATCGCAGCCCACCTTCGACGCGCCATCGAAACGCAATTTGTTTGATAGTCGAGCAGAGAAGCGGGCTCCCTCGAATTTGCCCGATGTGTAGAAGATGGAAATCTAATTTCGATCGACACGACGTTCGTTAATGATAAATCAACAACGACACGCACAAAACTCGCGAACGAGGGGACGAAAATTTCGTTAGCGATTCGAAGCGTTGGAAATGAATTGTTTTAACTCTTTTCGTTTTACATTTCTTGAATATTCTTTTACTAAAGAATATTGAAAATTCTCCGAAGATTAAGATCTGGACCAGTGTATACGATCGTAAGACTATTTATTGGAACCAAGTATTTTCTATAAAAGTTTGTGGTTTCCAACGTTCCATATGTCCAATGTGAAGACGACGAGGCACGGAAAAGATTGCTTCAAGAATCTCGTGACAGCGAAAGCTCAAGGATAGTCGAGGATCCGCAGATATACCGCGAAATTGAATTCCACGGTATTCATTAATATTTGTCTGTACATCCCTTTATTCCCCTTATTCCACGAGGCTCGAACTACAAATCGCTGGCTCGACAGTCCCCGGGCTGAATCGGGGGAAGAATGGACGTCACGCGACCCAGAAACGAAATCAAAAGTGAGGACGCGATTGATAAATTTCGACGACCTACATTTTAAAGCCAGCCACTTAAAAGCCATTTGGCCGATGCTCGTCGCGGCGACCGACTCGGCGAAGGACACTCGTTTCGTCCTATGTAGAAATATAAATTTCGAGCGTTTGTCGTTCGATACGCTCGGAACGATGCGAATTTGCGCGCGTATCGAGCCGGTAATCGAATAGATTGCACCGGGATATTTTTCCCGGCGATATTGCTGATTGTAATCTTCGACGCGACGACCGGATTCCTTATAGCGTTTCATTTCGCTGCGAGCGTACAAACAGCACTCCGCGGAAGTAATCCACCCATCGAGATCGAAAATTACGATCGTAAATGAAATTATTCTGCAAATATGTGTTTTTGATACGCCGAACTGCACATATTTACGAACGCGCGGAAACGAATAACGATGATTCCGCGTTCGCGAGTTTTCGAGAACGAATTTTCCGCGGAAATATTAACACGCGGAGAACACGTTTCGCGGACTTATTTTATCATCGATGAAATTTTTCTGGAAAAATTGTATACGTTTCTCAGCGCGATATTAAAATATTCGTAATGAAATTTTTATTCGTCGATCGATCCCTGCGTGTACCCTTTCCGTCGAATTCGCAATTGCGAATAATTAAACGCATTTGATTAAATTACGTTCGAACCTCTCGCGCTTCGTAATAATATAAAAATACGCCTCGTTGTATTTTGCCGAAGCAAATAATATTTCGCAGTTCGTGCAGATTCAATCGTTCGGAAAACGTGCTGGAAAGCGGAAGTTTAATAACCCGAAGTTCCACCGATAAGTTCGCGGAACGAAACGCAGGGTCGCGACGGCTACGATTCAGAGAATTCCATTGGAGTTCGCTTTGAATGAGATCGTACATTGACACGAGAGGATCAAGAAGTGGAAAGCGACGAACGTAAGGTCGAGGATGCGTGTAACGCGGAAAAATTGTCGAGATATCGGCCGTGGAATAAAAAGCTAAGGAAAATGTAGAAGTGATTTCTTTCCTCCGGGGAATATCCAGCCACGTCTCCGAATCGTCGAGCGCATTATTTCCGTCGAAATGATATTCCCATTCGCGAGCGAAATTCTGGAATATATCCGTGGCCTCTCTAGCGCACGTGTCTAAATATTGATAAACCGAGAGCAACAGAGGGGGCGGAGAGGAGGCGGGAATTTTTCGCGTAACGCGAAACCGACTCGCTGACGATTCTCGCGATCCTAGTAATTTTAATCTTTTGGTTCGACACTCGCCGTTCGGGCGATTTAATAAATCCGATATCATTATTATCGTGAATGCCAAAGTAATTAACCAGAGGGACTCGATCTGTCAATTTCATCTCATTTTCAGCGTATGTACGCACGTAACAACATAAATGAATCGATACTGCACGTAATCGTCGAACGTTTAACACTGACCCTGCGATTCTGTCGTGTTTTATCAGGCTCGTTAGCGATGGATTAATCATCCGATAACTGGATTACGATTCTTGAATGCAAACACGTTAACTCTCGCCCTCTGCAATCGTAATGGTACATAACTGGATCGACGAGACTGGGAAAAGACGGTCCAACGATTCCTCTAACGCTGAATCTACCATCACTGGTCAAATGGACGTCTATTAAAATACTAAAACTTTAGACACGTGCAGTTCCGAAATTACCAGTGTTTTATTAATAATTGGACCACTGTTGGCAGCGGTAAAGCTTCCTCTTTAAAATGGTTTTTGGTTATTGTCGATCCGACTTCCCGTTCCGGAGATATCGTAATTTATGTAAAAGGTAATTTTTAAAATTCCGCCCTCCGCCTTAGAAAAGGTTATTAACGTGCAGTAAAAATACTAAAAGTTTAGACGTGTGCAGTTCTGAAAGTACTAGTGTTTTATCCATTATTAAGCCACTGTTAGCGGCGGCAAACCTTCCTCTTTAAATTGGTTTTTTGGTTTTTGTCGATCCGACTTTTCGTTTTCGAGATATCGCAATTTATGTAAAAGGTAATTTTTTCAATTCGACTATCTCTTTCTCCGTCTAACGCATCGGACCTCCTTGTCGCACGTTGACCCACTAACCGAGAGACCGAGTGACGTCACGTTTACTATGTACTACGAGCACGTGCGGTCAACGACCTTGCAAGGCCGTAGTAAGAAAGTTCATTGATATCGCGACGTAAACAAGTGCTTCGGTCTCATCCGATCGACTCGAAACTAAAATCCTCGTATCTCCGGAACTAATAACGCTATTGACTCGTACAAACGCTCATTTTAAAGGGCGTTTCATCCTCTATCCGATGACTATACCAACCATTATTAATTATGATAGCTTCTATATTTATTTTCACATTTACTTTGACTCGATGCACCCAAAGAAGTTTCAGCAAAACTAAATTACAAATTGTTCATTTAATTGAAAATGAATTTAAAATGTTTTGTGACTGTTGAACACTGAACAAGAACAATTTATCGAATGATCCTGATTGCAGTGTTCCATTAGCGCAATTAACGCAAAAAGTCTCCGTAAGAAAGCTGGCCGATAAGCAAAACAGCTAAGTGCAAAAAAATCTCGAGCAATACATAGTTAATTAGAAGTTGAATATTTCCGTTAGTTAAACTAGTATTAAAGTTAAGTGGTGATTAATTATACGCGAAACTCTCGATTGGACATACATTTTTTTTCACCGAACAGAAAAGTTTTAATAAAGTCGTGGGTTAATGCTTTTGATATGCGGAAATTATTTTCTACTCGAAAGGAACTTGTTCCTCGAGCGGAAATAAAGCGACACGCTCTTCCCGGCTGCCTCTGCTTGGCGAAGAAGTCACGAAGAATTAAAGTTCCCGGAATGAAATCTGAATATCGCCGGAAAGGAAACCTCTCTGGTGGATGTTTTTTTCGCCGCCACAATGCCGAGCGACGTGACCGCGATTATCGGAAAATTTCATTTTATCAAAAAGCTGCGAAGCTAAACTTGTTGCTCGATCTATCGCGATACAATCACGCACGTTGTGTCCCTGAAAAACACTGTCGGCTACGCTTTCAAACGGTAACCGGTTCGCTTTTCAGCAGAAAATAAAAGAGACAATTTTTCGACGAATAAAGACTGCTGCAATTCGACGAATCTCCGTTGAAAAGCTTCGCCCGATTCTAATAAAAGAGGCTTAAATAAAGAAGTTTTTCGACAAATTCGAGAGTTAAAAACAAATGCTGCAATCTTTCATTTACTCTTAATTTTAGTTACTTCAAACTTTTCGAATATAAAATAAAAACAGAGACATATTTTTCTACTCGTTACTCCGTCCAAGGCAAAGATGGGCGAAATTCGATAGAGATTTCGAGCAATGAATAAAGAATAAAGCTTGACGGAATAAATTGCTACACGTTGGTTTCATCCTTCGTCTTTCATTCGAAATCCCGCCCATCTCTGCATTCATGCGCTTCGAATAAAGCGTCGTGTGTTGAGTCGTCGTCGAGAGCCCGCGTATCTCGACGGATTATAAGATTAGAAAATAATGGATAAGCCAGTGAAAAGTGGAAGTTACTCACATTCTCCTCGACGGTCTTTTTGATTTTCGCCCCAGCCTCGACGACGGTTTTGCTCGCTTTATTTACTGCGCTGTACAAAAATCCACCTAAGCTCTTAGCACCTTCCAGCGCCTTGGTAGAAACTGCAGGACAGAAGAAAGATAATGAGAATGAATGATGCGTTATCCTGGTCAGCTGGAAATCAATGGGGGGGGGGATCGGGGTTCGCGAAAGAAAAAAAAACGTCGAGCAAAGGTGAGAAAAGTCGTTCTCCCTACGGGACGGGAGAAAACGCGAGAGACAACGTGAAAAGCAGGCGTTCTAACCCAGATACGTCAGTGGGATCCCTCGCTGGGGATCTTTTCTCGGGGATTCTGCCATTTATCAGCGATGGTCGACGAAAACTAAGCACCCCGACGAGGAAAATTCGCGCGAGCCGTGTTACCGTCTTGCTGGGAAACGGTTGATCGCGTAATGTTATCCCGTCGCTGGAGAGAGATAAAACATGGAAAAGGGAGGAACCGGGCGTAAGGTGGAATTTCTGATCTCCGGTTCTCTCCGACGGTTGAACCTGAATTTTTACGGTTCGTTGAAAAAGCGTAGCAACTCTGTTTCGTACGGAATTCGGCTACAAGAACGGGTACAAATATTCGAGACCGTGTATCGTTTTCTCTGTGGCGCGACAACAAAAATTTTTACGCCCGGATGATAAAATACACGGTCCACGCCGCAGTGTGTGGCGCGCAACGGGGAGGCGAGCTTTCAAAAATAAATTGAGACCGTGGCGAGGCACTTTATCGCGCGAGACTTTGCTCCGCGAGGAAACTGATGTTAACAAGAAAAGCGTACAGAGTGTGGTTTTAAGAAAATGGTATTTTTTATATTTTCCCGTAACCGTGGCCGGGGAATATTTTACTTTTACATTTTATTCATGCAGTGTCGCTTGCTTGCCGGGTCGCCGCGACGCGTTACATTGTGCTACGGTTTATATATGCTTCGCATGAATGTATAAAACGTCAGACTTTACAGTAACGACCCGATTCTGTCTAGGAACGAAGACTAATATCGAGAGCAACCGCGATTCGAGAAGGAAGTAAAACTGTTACGGTTTGGTCTTTTTCTGTTGTTCGGTAGTTTCGAGTTTGAACGAACACGAGAAGTTATTCTGTCGCGGGACGTGGCAAGTATTAAGTAAGAACCCTAAAACGAAGCGAGACATTCGATTCAACGCGCCCCATTCAGCATCCGAGGAAAATTCAATTTCTCGCTGAACTGCTACGTAACACTAAATATGGTAACAATGAACTCGTAACTAGAATATGCAGTGGCGTTAACGAGCTCTATAACAGTGTACACTTCTCTATCATTGTATTTTTTAAGCGTGACATCTTTTCTGCACGAATCGATCAAAAATTTTCCATCTTCATACTATTTTATATATATAACTGTTCGTAGTACATAAACACGAATAAATGAATTAATATTTGGAACTAATATATACCGGTGAATTGTTAGATCTGTTTTGGTAAGATCAAATAATAGCTTTTCCAATTCAGTTACTATTTTATCCGACAGACATCGCGTGCAGGACCACTTTTACTTATTAACGACTTTGCAACCGTGTTCGGATATTTCAACTTTTTCCTATACAATCTTAAAATCTTTCATCGGATCAAAACGTTACGATAAATCAGTGTTTCGATGGTTGTATTTCATACTCTCATTCATAAAATCGAGCGTTTTCATTGAAAAGTTTTACAACTTGCAAAGAACCGTCGACAAAAGATCGAAAAATATTGTGATCAGGAGTCGGGAGGATCTAATAATACTCGGCGAAGGAAGCTACAAGAGTAGCTTGTTATTAAATATCTCATAAGGCTTCGTCGCGAGATTCAGTCATAAGAGATTTATTAGCATCTCCTATTTTATTGATGACATCGTGCTCGTTGGACGTAGCGAAACACGATACCCGAAGATCACCTTTCTCCAGCTTTCGTGTCATATATTCGAAATGTCAGAAATTCTGCCTTCAAAGCCCTTGAATATTGTTCTCCCATTTGGAATCCATATCACAGCCACCACATTGCGCTGTCGGAGGGTATTCAGCATAAAGGACCTTATTCAAAATCGACGAAATTCCCCCCGGGATTTGCTTCAAATTTTGCACATTCAAGTACTGTGGTCGTCATCGATCTCCGTTATCAATTTTCCTCTAAGTCTATAGGAGCGTGGCGGGGGAGAGCACGCCAATGAAATTGAAATAGTTTTCTCTAACAATCGGTCGACAGTATTTTTTTCCCCCTATAAAAGTTTAACGCGTTTACTCTGTTTGATTTTTACGGAAGCTTCAATATTTGACAGCTGGGGGTCCATTGCACTCGATACTAGATATTGATAGTTCGCGATAGGGACGAAATACGAAAAATTCGGCGAAAATGGAAGACATTCTATCGATATCTATCCAGATTTGATCAAGCTTATCAAGTGTAAATAAAATATTACAGAAATTAAGAAACTCTATCACTCGAGCATTTTAATATTATAAAGATCTTATAAAGATAATAATTTCAGAATAAAAATGCACCTTTACTAATAGCCCCGAAGCGAGACTTTCCCTCGTCGTGATTATGGACAGGACATCCTAGCTGCCACCTGACAGAGTAATTGACGGTACGCACTAGCATATTAACCTAATCGCCGTTTAGCCCCGAAGTCCGTCGAAACACAAAGTGGTAATTATTTTGGATAAATTGCTGCTCGAAGGTGTACTTTCTCGACAAGATCCGCCAGGATTGCCAACGTATAAACCGCCGATGGAAAAATGAACTCGCAAAGGAGCACGTCAACACGCATAAACCATGAACATGGTCGCGAGGAAGCTCGCTTCTCCGCGCAAACCGAGGCCAATTTAATCAACCAAATTGAACCATTTCGATTCGCGTGGCTTCGTATCTCTCTTCCTTTCTCTCCTTTTTTCTCTCACTTTCCTCTCCTGGAGCAAAATAATTCAACAGCCGCGTTTACAAAAGTACTGAGAAGACAATAAAAAATTTTATCGCTGCACGTATGGCTGACGGGGACTTTCCACTAAGAAATTAAAATAATTTAACATTTAGGGTTTAGAGCGTTGGACTACCCCTGTAACGTACAAGCGTTCACCAGACTCCAGCCTCGTTATTTCATTAATAACTTATCGATTTAATTATATTAACACTTGCCATTTTAAGAAACTCTCTCTTAACCTTTTCCATCTTCTACTCGTGTTACATCGTTTTAAAGTTAAAGATTGCGTAGCTTGCACAGGGAACGAATCGTGTGGTCGTTTAAGGATTAATTCAGGGTCGAACACGCGGTAAACGGAAATAAAATACAAAAGGATTTCAGTCATCGTTGAACTTTCACCGTCTCTGGCACGGGACCAAGTGGCGCCAAAACGGTCGCCAAATATCCTACGGGCCTAGCGTCGCGCAAAGGTCTCCTTGTAATTTGTTACGCGACGAAATCACCGGGGCAAAATTTATCGCGGACGTGCCCGCATACACGGTGAATAATAATGCAAGAAAAAAAAATTGTACACACAGGCACTGTAAATCGTCGGTTTACCGATAAATCGATACGTCTCGCGAAGAGCCGGCACTAGCTGCATACACTTGACGATTGTTTTCCACCGGTAGGTTTGAAATTCGATTCGACCGCGATATCTGAGTGGAGGTTACTCCATACCAGAGACAGGTAAAATTCTGCTCGAATAATGGACGAAGAATTGAAAACGTCGTACAGCGGTTTGATCTCGATCACGCTCGACAGTTATTCGGGCAAGCTTTTATCGTTCGAATTGAGATTTCCCTTCGACGAATCGAAAGTTTATCCTTTACGAAATTTTTAATTTAAATAGAAAATTTGTCCGTGATAGTTGACCCTAGTATTAACCCTAGAAAAACAAGACCACGTTCTCTATCTTGTCTAATTTGTACAGTAAATAAAAAACAGTAATCGATAGTGGATCGTCTGTGAAAATAGATTTACCTAGCCTGTTAGCGTTTACCTATACTCTTTTATTGGCTTCGCGATGGAGATTCATCTCAGATATCAAATTTAAAATAAGAAAATGTCACCCGTTCCTGACGAGAAACGCAGTTTCGACAACGAGCGCGTTAATACGTTTGACACTTCGTGCTTTCATGGCGGAACCAGATTCCCAGTCGTGTTTTCGAGGTATCCCTGGTCGAATAAACGTCCACGTTCGATGGTCTCCCGTAACGACACGTCCCGCGAGATTCGGAAGACGAAAAATGCTTTCGAACCGAAACGAGCAGAGCTTTTATCGCGAACGAGAAACTTTTACGAACCGACTGTGCTGCGTAGACCATTCAAGGTGAAACTAACGAGAGCGTCGAAGCTCTTCCGCGAACGCAACGAGCAATCACTGACGTAACTCGCTAGAACCGACTCTGACTGCTCTTAGCAGTCATCGAGAGGAAAGAAGAGCTCGATGTACGCGAAGGATGACGATACAGCGTCATACAGTGGTGAACGAAAGCATCAACACTTTGCATGCGTTATAAAAACATTTCTGACTACTAAAAGAATTTTAATATAAAAAATACACGTTGCACGAGAAATTTGGAAAAGAGAAACTTGGTATATCTTTTAACCTCGGTTCTGCAAGAGTTAAGTTACCCGCAATCTTGTCGTACAGATAATATTTCCAAGTTATACGCCCAGTAAATATATTAGTGCATTAAGTACACAGAATACTCTTTATTCTTTACGTTTTCTGGTTTCTTCTGAATAATTCAAGAGTCTGCTATCTCTTCGAACAGTGTGGAATATCTGATTCGTGTACACGTTACATCGTCTCTGCATAAAAAAAATAATGTTTACTGAAATACTCCCTTTGCATTATCTAGCTCCTATCGAAACACTTTTCCCTTATCTTGAAATTACACGCGTTAAACGCGAATATGAAACTCGGACGATATTATCTCCGAATCGCGATAACTATCCAACGACTGGGGGTTCTTATCTCCTTACACTTCCGTCGAACTTCTATTTAACCCATTCCCGCTTTTACATCGGCCATTACGACGAGAATAGGGAAACTTTCTACCTTGGATTACTCGTAAAAATAGTTGAATTAAGA